GAATATAACATATTATTAGAGATAGAGGGAAAAACATCAAAGAACAGAACAGAAAACGACTGAGACTGTAGATTTGTGGGTTTGAAAGAAGACTCTTATCTATATCTATCATCATATATTGAATAATATGTTGTCTAAATTTATAATTAAATAATCCTGTTCTTTTCTTTACTAATAAAGGAGGAGGGTAGATAAGGCCAAATCTTTTAAACTCTCTTCAGGACTAATTTGTTTCTATTAGGTGTGAATATGGAGCAACTCCTAATTATTTATTTCAGGTTTATTTTGAAAAAAATGACATCATCAATTTTGGTCTCTGAGGTCCCCTCCAGGTATTGTCGAAAAAAAAATTCGCTTTTCATCAATCAAAACTAAATATTCCTATACATTAAAGTGTGCTGATTGTGAATGTCATAATAAAATCTCTAAAAACTCCCTTGTTCTCCATATAGTCTGGACTACGATCTAGGCCCTATTTTTCAATTTTGAATCCCTTGTAAAAGAACTCTTCTTCAAACTTTAGTGGAAAATGTTTTTTCTAACTCTAAATGTTGTGCTCTATACGAATCTGAACGTTTTACAACGTAAAAAAAGTTACTCTCAAATAAAAAAAAATGTGATTTCGGGGTGGAAAATAGCCATGTTTTCTGTAAATAAGTATTTATCTCGCTACTTTGTCATGAAAGGAGTTTAGCTGTAACGTCCAACTTTTGTCAGTAGGATAGTTTTTCACGTTCTATCGATTGATGATATTAAAAATAAGAAAAAATTTGTGTAACACTATCGAAAATTAAAAATACTGAAGAATTTTAAAAAAAGTTGTGGGGGACCACAGGCACCTAGTATACATGACATCTTGTAGAGCCTAATGAGCTATGAATGCAAGAAAAATATCATTGATCTCCACAGTTTGTTCCGACTCAAAATTCGCTTCACAAAGCTTTGGGCATGGTAGAACCGCAGTGAGATTTCACATAAGTTTCCGAGATGAAAGAAAGCATGAAGATCAATGAAGCTTTTCCTGTATTCATAACTCATTAGACTCTACAAGATGTACTATATATTAACTGATTTCAAGATGTCATGTATACTAGGTGCCTGTGGTCCCCCACAGCTTTTTTAAAATTCTTCAGTATTTTTAATTTTCGATAGTGTTACACAAATTTTTTCTTATTTTTAATATCATCAATCGATAGAGCGTGAAAAACTATCCTACTGATAAAAGTTGGACGTTACAGCTAAACTCCTTTCATGACAAAGTAGCGAGATAAATACATATTTACAGAAAACATGGCTATTTTCCACCCCGAAATCACATTTTTTTATTTGAGAGTAACTTTTTTTACGTTGTAAAACGTTCAGATTCGTATAGAACACAACATTTTGAGTTAGAAAAGACGTTTTCCACTAAAGTTCGAAGAAGAACTCTTTTACAAGGGATCCCAAATTGAAAAATAGGACCTAGATTGTGGTCCAGACTATATAGAGAACAAGGGAGCTTTTAGAGGTTATATTATGACATTCATGATCAGCACACTTTAATGTATAGGAATATCTAGCTCTGATTGATGAAAAGCGAAATTGTTTTTTCGACAACACCTGGAGGGGACCTCAGAGACCAAAATTGATGATGTCATTTTTTTCAAAATAAACCTGAAATAAATAATTAGGACTTGCTCCATATTCACACCTAATAGAAACAAATTAGTTCTGAAGCAGTTTAAAAGATTTGGCCTTATCCGTCCTCTTCCTTTTCAATTAATTCTATATTTTTTAATTCCATTTTATATTTTTAAATTAAACAATATAATTTTATATAAATAATATCTAACATATTGTTTAATATTCGATTTTAATTTTATATCGCCTACATCATAGCAAAGTATATTAATTTTCTGAAAAAAGACTCTTTCAGATTAATAGGAAAAAATCCTATAAAATTAATGATATATATTCTGCTTAAATAACGTCTACATAAAAATTGACATCTGTTTTTATAAGAATACATTTTTGAAATTGTAGGCAAATAATAGAAGAGAAAGAAGACTTTTTACATTAGAAAACGTAGGTTTCAATAGAGTTAATTTAATTTAATCTGTTCTAACCGGATGTTGTCCCTACGGTAATGTTTTTTTTTAAACCATCCACTTAAAAAAGTTAAGAACAATATAATATAATATTGTATAACAAATATCAATGTGTATAAAAAGAAAACAGGTTTTTTTTTCTTCTCCAGAGGAGTTCATCAGAAACAATTTTTAACTTGTGAAGTATCTTTAGGTTACAGAATGAGACTTAGAGAAAATGATTAAAATACCTCGAACAGATTTGTTATTTTCAAGATTCATCCCTCAGTACTCTACGCAAATAATCGATTTGTTATTTACATGAATGCTTCAGAGGACCTTTCCTTTCCTAAATGTTAAAAACAAAGTTTTTTCGATTTTTTGTATAACTTTGAAGTGTTCTCTATGGATCTTCGTTGTTAGTTAGTACTTTTATTAAATCTAACTCTCGAAATCCTTAGCAGAAGAATTCGCGCTATGATTATTGTTTCTATGTAAAATTTCCCTGATGATAATTTCTAAAGATACTGAGAGCATGGGTCATGAACCTCTAACACCTTCAGCTTTCAATCACTTTAGTTGGAGAAAAATGTGTTGTTTGTAAAATGAAATATATAGAGCTTTGCTACGCCCACATCTCTTTGAAAGAAGCATCTGAGAATTTTAATCGAGAAACCTCAGAAAAAGAGGAAACATTTCCTTATTTTTGTTAGATATAACAAACGATTAATGTAATTATCATAAGTTTCGAAAATAATTTCGTTTTTCTTTCAGTTACTTTACTTTTGAATCTTAAATTTCTATTCTTTTTTCGTTAATTATAATGATTGAAAGACAAATTCAAATCTGAAGAATTGAACTATTCGAATAATATTTATTCCTATTTTTAAGAAAAGTACTTCCGAGTACATGAAATCTTATCAAAATCAAAAAGAATCAAACGTAATAAGTTGTCCTACCACTGAACTACCGTGTGCAACAAAAGACAGAATAAAATTTTTCAGATAATTCAGTTTCAGAAATTGAACAGATCGGCTGTCTTATGATCATTTCCATGGTTTAGATTTTGATTTCATTTGGAATTTATTATAGAAAATAATTTGGTTCATTTCATGAGATGTTCAATAGTTAAAGCAAAAAAAAAACAATCGGTACATGTATTGCGATAAATAGAAATAGAGATTAAAAAAAACTGATTTTTATTTCTTAGAAACTTTTGTAAGATTTTTAAAGTTAATATGAAACTTTATTTCTATTATCAAAATAGAAATATTCATTTCTTATTAAAATTTTACGCATTAAACATGAGAAAATCTTATTATATAAGACGTAAGACAAAGAAAATGTCATGTCAACCTAAGATAAAAACTTCACAGTTCGATTCAAATAATCAGTCAAATAATAAACTACAATTAGCTATTCAATACTCAAGAATAGTTTAATTTTCCGGTCTTCATGAATAGAGATAGACGTCGATTAGTATTAATAGTTCTCAATGACATTATTATTTTCAATGTTTTCATTCAATCTACATTTATATCCGTGGTAAGTTATCGGGTAGTGATTATTATTTCTAAGTTTGAATGTATAAATTAAAATTTGTCTATTATCTACAAAAAGAATTATCAATTGAACTTATATGTTAATCGATAGAAATAATTATAATTAATTTAATATGCATATTACCATGTGTCTTATAGCAAAATAAGACACCACGACATTAGAATGTTAAAAAAAAACCAATCAAAATTTGTATAGATTTATTTAAGAAATAATTAATCTATTAATGATTAATAGTGATACATGTATATCGCTTCCTAGACGGGAGTAATTATAGATCGTAGCGCAATAACCTTTAATTTCCGCGGGCGAGGGAGAAGGGCAATCAGATCTTCTTTGGATAAAGTAGTGAGAATTTAACTATCTAGAGAATTCACTGATTGATTGCAAAAAAAAATATTTATGTTCTTCGCATTATTTTATTTTATTTTAGTAATCAAACTAAATTAAGTTTGACTTTTAAACAAAATGGCTTTTCGTATTCTCTCATTATATCTTTTTATTTTCATGATATTTATTTCTTCAATTAAATCATCACCACAATTAGATGATATTCTTATTGAAAATTATCCATCATTAAATTCTGCTCATACATCATCACCTACAATACATCGATTCAATTTTATTTCACTTATATGTCAACGACAAGAACAATATCCAATAAAATTAACGAGAAAATTATGTTCAAACTATTTTCAACCATACAAAATACAAGGAGACGATCAAGAACAACAACAACAACAACAACACCAACAACGAAATAAACGAGTCGGATGGACAATTAGCGTTTAAAAAAAAAAACATTTAAAATTCATGTTTTTTTTGTCTTCAAAAAGAAATTAAAATAAAAAAATAAAGACAGAATATGACACAAAAAAAAAACAAAATATTTACAAGCATGATCTTTTCATACGCTGTTGAGGTCCTTTTTCTAGAATGATTATACGATTTCGATTACTATGACTCATTTGTTGATGATAATGATGATGTTTATCCGCATTTGAATTTATAATACATGATATACGAATATCTTTTAATCTCCATAACTCACTAAGAAGTTTTCGACATTCACGTCGAAATGCTCGACCAGTTAAACAATAAAGTACAAAATTAACCTAAAAATAAAATATATAACAATCACACCAAAAAAAAAACAAAATGAATATATTTACTGTATGATTTAAATACATTAAAACAGTTAAACTAACTCCTGTTATTTGCCAATGTGTTGTTGATTTATATTCAGGAAAAAGATCAGCTATTAATTGACGCATTGAAACTGGTAATGTACAAAGAACAAATACAAAGGATATTATTAATAATGAACATGTTAAACGTATTCCTGTTGCACTTGTTGAATCATATAATATTTGTTGAGATTTTTGTTGAAAATTATTTTTATTTAAACCATTATGATATACACGACCATGTGAAATAAATGAACGAGCAGCAGGTGATGATTCTAAGATATTAACAATTACGTTTTAAAAAACAAAAAAATAGAAAATTTTCTACAATTATTATTATTGACTAGCTACTTTTCTATTCTCAGAAATATTGATCAAGTTTTATAAGAGTTAAATAATCTGTTAAATTTTATATAGCTTGTTGAAATTATGATGTTATATAATTTTATCTGAAATAACGTGTACAACTTGTTCGATGTTCTAATCTTTTTATGACTTAATTAATCGAGGGTCTGATTTATCTGCATTTCTTCTGAAATTTGTGTACTATACTAATAAGATATATACATATATTTACTAGTTGTTTAAAATCAACATTTGAATTCTTACTAACCTACTGATCGACTACGAAAAAATGGTGCACGAATTGAAGATGAACTTTTAGTTTTTTGATTATGATTTCTTTGACTTGTATCCGTTGTTGGTAAACAACTACTTGCTTGTAAATAAGTTCTTCTTTGTCTAATAGCATAAAACATTGTTGATATAATTAATGTATTAAAAATAATAATTAATATTGATGGTATAACACTATAAAAACATAAATCAATAAATGCTAATAAACGATTGAATTTTTCAAGATCACAAACAAAAAAATTTGGATGATAACCATCATCTGTTTGTAAAGTTATACGTTTAATATTCATTGTAAAAAAACAATGTGTTGTATAAAATGAAAAAAATATAAAGATAATTAATGTTATACCATATGCAACATGCATTCGACATATATGAACAGATTGAAGTGGAAAACGAACAACTATAAAACGTTCAAATGTAACAGCAACAATAAGCCAAGCTGATAAATATGTAACTAAATGTCTTATGTAAGAACCTAAACGACAATTGATTGTTGAATTCGATTCAGGATGATAACCAAATCCAGTATCAAACATAAATAAAAGACAACCTGTATAGAGTACACATATATCCATAATAGCCAATAATGCTAAATAAAAATATGATGAAAGACCACGACGTGAACGTCGAAACATAATTGTTGCTGATAATATATTTCCAATAAGACCACATATTAGAAAACAAACTAATATTATTGTTATTATCCATTTTTTAACACCTTGTACACCTAGATATGGTTTTGGTATACAATATGGTGTACGTAATAATGTAAAATAATCATCACGTGTCATATTTCGAGATTCATAATATGATGCATTTACAAATTTTAATAGGTTTTCCAATTCTTCACATGAAGCTGGACTTGGTGCATGTAGAAAATTTGTATCATTTGTAGTATCAATCATTTTTTGAATTTGAACAAAAAAACAAAAAGACAAAAAAAAAATTTTTAATCTAAAAAAAACGAAACTTTACTAAACCAACAATATAAATAAAGCAGCGAATAAAAATAAGATTATCTCATTATTATAAGCAAACCTTTAGTTTTGTATATTGTAAAATGGCATTGAAGGTCTTCTTCTGTTACAAATCATTAGCACATTCTTTTTTTGACTTTAGATAAGAAAAGAATACATCTAATCACAATATCGAACTGTTGTACTGATGGAAAAGTGCAAAAGAAAAAAAAAAAAAAAGAGATTTGTATATTTGTGCAACATCACGCACATACTCACAGTTGATTTCCTCAATTTGCTTATGTATGCATTGACGCATAGTCGAGAGATTGACATGCATGTTTATATGAAGGAAAAATAGAAGACTATGAAAACAATCCTTAGTGTGGGCTAGAATAATGATCATCATGTCGATACAACAACGTAGGACGCTTGTTATTACGTATTGTTAAGGAAAAAACAAGGAAAAGTAAAGAATAATTTCGAAGATTGATGTTTCAAGAATGTAATCAAGTGAACAACATTTAAGGAATGTAGTATGTGTTCTAATTTATGAAAAAAAAAGTTACTCTTATTTACTTCATCATCTACTTATAAAAAGTTGCAAATAAAGAAAACAAAATTAGTTTGATAAAAGATATTCAAAGAAAAACAAAACAAAAATAAAAAGAAGGCAACACAAGTATAAAATATCTACTTAGTTTCAAGGCTTTTGTTTTCAGCTATTTATATCTTTTCTTTTCGAATGTTTTGCAAATAATTACATTTGATAATCAGTTTCTCTTTAGACTGTAGAATATCTAAAAGTCGTATTTGTTCGATAAGTAAGCTAAAGAATAGTAACGAATGGTGAAAATAACCTACGTTAATACATTAATAACATATAGTAATCGTCATTGATGCCATCAATAAAATAGTTAGATGAATGAAAATAGGCTTATCGGATGTGTATGACGAGAAATGAATGAGAGGAGTAATTTGTCGTTTTTTGTCTAGGGTGAATTATACAACCCGAGATATAAATATAAAGCATGATAGAAGATTTTTTTATACTTGAAAAAAAAAGTACAAAGCAATCATAAATCGAAAGGTGCATGTTCTACCATAAATAGATTTATCTGTAGAATTTAGCATAAAGTCATAATTTCTACTATTTTTATTTCAGTATGTCGTCACATTTCCGGATTTACTCTAATTTTGTTGATTCCGTTTTTTGATAAGAATGGTGATAATAATGTCCATCAATAAGTATTGTCAAGAGTCATTAGAATTATAGATTTTTGTCAATAAATAATAAGAAATGAAATATTGAAATGTTTAGATTTTTTTTATTAACAGATTTTATCATAAGATGGGGATTTTTTTTTAAATTTGATATTAAAGTGAAATTATTTGAAAATCTTTTTTTCTTTTTGATTTATCAACTAAAAATAGTTTGCATGCACATTAATTACATATTTCCGAAATATCAATAGCAGATCAAATCTTTGACTGAACAAAAAACAAAAATCGCAACTCTTATGATAAAAGAAAATTTTAATTTACAAACAAAACAAATTTCAAGACTAAAAAAAAATCTATCATTTTTTGTCAATGTTGAATTTCAATGCAAATATTATCCGTTTTCCTTAAAAGCAAGAAAGGAAAAAACATTCTTTCTTCTTCTTTTCTCTAATTTTTGCTCTTAGTTACACAATAAGAAAACGTGCCAATAGCAACACCTAACCTACACAAACTTTCAAATGTCGAGTACGACACTAACGTTAAAAAATATTCTTTATTAATGTCTCTCTCTGTATATAGATGTTAACGTCGTAAAGCGTTCATAACTAAGAGAAAAAGAAAAAAGGACGAGCAGAAAAACAAAAGAAGACTGTTCTTTTTTTTTTACTAAACTTCATCAACATAATCATTGTTTGAATTTTTATCAAGGTAGTTCCACGTAAGCTAACAAAAAGAAAATTAACTATGAATGGAACAGTGTTTATGGCGCAAACTAATAATTTTTTGGGAAATAATATTATGAATCCTCAACAACAACAAAAATGGATGGATAAACCTATTGGCGATCCAAGTGGACTTGTTTATTTAAGACCATTAGATTCATTATTAGTGAAACAAGTCGTTTCAATGACTGAACGTATTTAATATAAATTGTTTTAATTATAAAATTTTACTTACTTTTTTTTTTCTTTTCAGTAATGATTGGAATTCCATCTCAAGCAAAATATGGAATATTTAATGATAAAGGAGAACAAATTTATTTTGCATTTGAAGGTAAAACTTTGCAATAGAAATAATTTTTTTTTTTTTAAATATACTTTTAGAATCAAATATTTGTCAACGTATATATTGTCCTAAAACTCGTCGATTTGATCTTCATATTGTTGATAATACAAATCAAGTATATATAAACATGATCGACCTAAGTTTTTCAAAATCTAATTATTTTTTTAGGAAATAATTCGTGTTAAACGTGAATTTAAATGTTGTGCTGGTTGTTGTTGGTTCGCTTGTTGCAATGGTTGTAGTCAAGAAGTAATTGTTGAATCACCTCCAGGAACTGTAATAGGTTTTGTTACACAAGAGTACGCAAAAAATAAAACAAATTGATATTACTAATTATTTTTTCTTTTTTTTCCTTATTCTTATATTTAGATGTAGCTGTTGGCGTATGAAATATGTTTTAAAAGATATTACAGGAAATCCTATATTAACTATTATTGGTCCCGGATGTATCTGTGATGGTCCATATGCTTGTTGCTGTGAAAATAAATTTACAGTAAAAATTTTAATAATATTTTTTTTTTCAAAAAAAAAAAAAAAAATTTATTCAATGTATATATAGTTATATGGTACTGATGGAATAACAGAAATTGGTGCTATTCATAAAAAATATCGTGGATTTATTGCGGAAGCTATGACAACTGCTGATACATTTACTATTCGAAGTAAAATAAAGTATATTTAGCTATTAATAAATTTGATTTTTTTATTTACTAGTGCCTCTTGATTTGGATGTAAAAATGAAAGCTGTTGCACTGGGTGCATTATTTTTAATTGTAAGGATTTCTTTTGTTTTATTTATCTTATATTAGACGAATTTATTTTTTTGTTTCTCTTTTTAGGATTTTGCTAATTTTTCAGAATCACCTCGACGTAATTAGTTATTATATATATTCTTAATTACACCGCATTTTATTTTTTGATAATTATTTATGCTTTTGTTTAATGTCTCAACTAGTCTTTTGTGAATCATAACATATGTAAATGTTGTTATTTATGAATAAAACGACCTTTTTTTTTTTTTATTCGATATTGATTGATATCTTATATTTAATAAAGAGAAAGAGAAAGACAAACTATTTTTTTCAACATATTCATTTAATATTTTCTTTAATGAAATAGAGTACTACTGATAATAATTTTTTTTTTTCGTTTTTTAGAAATATTCTAGAGTAATTCGAGTCTGATCTGGTTATATGGAGAAAAAAAAATTCAGATTAAAATCTAATAAACATTACTAGCAGACGAGTTTGCCGATTGTCGGAAATGGCATTTAAAACGGTCTACTTCCTATCATAAACAATGGAGAAAAAAAAAACGATGAGTGTTTTTCGTCATTCTCTCACTTGAATGGTATGCTGTCAGTTTCCGTCATAATAGTTTCGGAATAGATTAAGTTGGAATACGATATCCAGATGCAGCGGTCAGACTTTTCTGCTTTCAAGTTCCTACTATTTTCTGACACAAAACGAGGTCTTTTGTAGAATATTTGTAAAATATAAAAAACGGTGGAAATAACAAGAAAAACGATGATTGCTTGCTATCGAAAAAAAAACCAGACTGACGGATTACGGTAAAATACGGTAAAACAATTAGTTTTTTAATTTCTTTTTTTTTTTGAAGAGATTAGATAAAGTTGAAATGCTAACCATTTTGATTTTATAGAATAAGATGAAAAATACATGTATGTACAATATTTTTAGTTCAAAAAAACGACATTTAGGAGTTCTTCTCTGAAGAATTTTATAAGACATGATCTAACAGTAGTGTTGAAGTATATAACATCTCCTTGTAGTATAAGAACTATTTCCTTGTTACATTTCCGGAAGACTGTCAAATTATAGCGAAGAAATGTATCCCAAAATAGATAGAATAAAATAATCGCTCTGTAATTATGCTAACAGCAAGGGCATTATGCCCCACATCAAGTCCTACAAGGATTATGCTAACAGCATTTTTCTTACGTATTCATCTGCAACCAATACTTTCTCGTATTTATACATTGAGTATGAATGAGACTACGTATATTGAAAAACACATGATTATCAAGTGCACATAATTTCAAAATAGAACTGTGCTTTTAAAATTTTCATAATAGAATAAGTCGAATAATAGTTGTAATTATTACAAATTTCGATCATAGTTATTAATGGTGTACCTTATTTAGAACTAGTTTTATTATCATAACTAATCAACATAAATTTTTAACATTACTCATAATTTTAAACTAATGAAAAGTATTAATAAAGCTCGGATATTAACGTACCATTATTAGCTTGTCTCTTCTGAATAATGAAGTAAGCATTTTCTTTTTGTCTTCTCTTCTTCACCACTTGTCAATATATTAACCAAGAAGAATGAGAAGACAAAGAAGCAGAATAATATACGTATTGATATATGAACATTATTAAACTATCATTACAACCGATATTGAAGATGATTATTATTAGTCAAGGACATTGTAAATATCATCTTATTCTATCAAAATATATCAATAAAATCAAAGTGATTATAATTTCAACTTAATCTAATCTACTTAAAAAAACCAATCTTTAAGTTAATTGAATTATAATGGTTGAAAGTTATACCCGTTTTAACTTTTGAACGTTTTTTTTTCTCAACTATCAACTTAAAAAAAAACCAAGCTTAAACCGTCACACTGC